AAGCCAAGAATAGATATTGGTTAGAGGTATTCATATCTTCCTTAAAATATCGCTGTCAAGATGCGTCTTTTTAAAATTCTAGGAGACCCTTGCGAATATGGCTTGTCGAGAGTTGGATAGATAACATAATGGTATCTTATTTGTTTCCATCACGGTTTCCATCTTACTGGATGAAAAACAATCAAACAGCAATAGTTATCCAAAACACCAAGGGAGAAAGGAGTTATTAGGTTCAATGTATTTAGTTGCCATTGTTGAATTAATAAATGATCTCATTGTGAACTAGATGAATTTGATATTTTTTAAACTGTCAAAAAAACATTCATGGCCAACATGTTGTAATTTTTTTCCCAAAGGAGGATCCGAGCCCCGAGGTTTGCCCCAGTGAGTGCCCATTATTGTCAACTGATAACTTTTTCGCTCTCTCAGTTTGAAAAATACAGGATTGGCCTAAGCTTTTTGAGGTTAGTATTAGATAGGTCCACTATTTTTCGAAGATGTTTCTGTGGAATGATAAATCTTTGATTGTCCATGTTTGTATGCCCTTGTGTATGCCTAATGTTTTTGTGTGCAAATTTATAGATAAAACCTCGGATAAAACCAACTAAGAAGAAGCGTGATCTTTTGTCTCACTTCAAATGGGAGGGCCCTAGAGAAAAGGAATAAAGGAAATTTGCCTTCTTGGTCAGTGATGAAGTCATTTGGTTCTAACATTAGGTACATGTTTTCTTGGGGTAAATTTACACACCCCTCAGCACAACATGTGTATATCTTAGTTTAATGAGTTGTGGGCAAACCCATTCTCCAACGCTAAGTTCAGTCAATTTAAGTACATATCTGAAATTATAAAGGTCTTGGTCAAAACACCAAAGAAAATCAAACAAAAAACATATGTCGATCTCTGTGAAACAAAGAACAAGAACTACTTAAATACACACTTGTACCTGTACACCTTAAAATATTGATGAGAAACAAAAAAAAAAGTAAATTAGAAGAAGCAAACATGCCAGGACACTATTGCTATTTTGATGTTTTCAGGACCACCCAATTGTCTTCCATTAGCAATCTTGTAGAGGATTTTGAAATTTGGGGAAATATTGAAGGAACAACTGCTGATTGTTTAAAGACTGAAAAGAATTTAAATGTTCCTGAATCTGTATTTTCCAATAATTATTATTGTGTATTTTTCTATCTTATGGTTCTCGTAGTTTATATTTATTTTGTCACAAAATGAAAAACACAACATTTAAGCTCTCATTCTCTCATTCTGCAAAAATAAATTATTTTTTAGGGGCCCAGACATGTAATTTGATTTATCGCTAACAGATTTCTTATTGGATTTTGAATTCTCCGAAACTTCAGGGTCAATCAAGTAACACTGGTTTAGTCCTCCCTCATGTGATACTTCATTATCTTATTTTGTTTCACACAGGTTTACCAAATTTATCATTGAAAAATTTCTTCCATTTTCTTTGTATTTCAAGTTTTTCTTCTTGTGTTTCCACAATTTTAATTATACTAAAAATTACTCAGGATACTCTTTTGCAAAGAGTGTTCTAGTCCGTGTTATGGAAATTAGGCAAATGTGCTACATATTTATTTTTATTAACACCAAAGGAGCATGAAACATACAACCCTTTGGCTTTAACCAACATTGAAGAAACAACTTAGAAATAAAAATTGCTCACCACACCTCAGCTGAAATGAGATTACAGATAGGGATAGGGATCAACCAGGTTGGAGGATTTTTAGGTGATTAGGATTATCAAGAATTTCTAAGAACTGTTAAAAAGAAATACAAACGTATATTTTCTAACACAAAATTCACACATTGTAACAAATTAATTAACTTGATTTCGCAACAGAAGAGAATCCTAATAACTCCGGAAAACTGTTTGATTAACCTTAGCACAACGACAATACCACCTTCCAGTAAGGAATTACTAGCCTTGGGATCATTTACTTTGCCCTATAACACTAAAGACTTTCCAATGTTCCAACTCATTAAGGATACTGAATATTGCATCCAGAACCTACCAGAAGACGCAGATAAGGACTGTTTTAGAGCAGCCTGCACCAATATCATTACGAATCACTACAACAGCTTAAAACAGGGTAAAAAATTTGACTAACGTGATAAAGAGTATTATCCTCGGTATTATCTAACCAAGAAATTCCATAAAAATAATCCTAACTAGATAGTGACTCGTGCGGATAAGGGTAATTGCACTGTTGTGATGGAAAGATAAGAGTATGAGTGTAAAATGAAACTATTGTTGGATGATGGTGGCACATATCTAGAATTACCTAACAATCCCACAAACCTTTACGAAAATAAGTCAAATAAATTATTCAAAAAGTTAGTATCATGTGATGAACTCGACAAAGATTCAGTAAAAAAAAGTACATAAACCATAATTCTATTCCACCAAAAATCTATGGACTACCCAAGATCCACAAGCCAAACACACCCCTTAGACCTGTTGTTTCGTGTGTAGTGTCGCCCACCTACAACATCTACAGTTTCGTAGCCAAAATTTTGAATAACTTAGTTCCAACGTTTCAATATGTGGTGAATAACTCCTTCAAGTTTTTGGAAAAACTTAGAACTCATTCAATTCTAGCTGGATACATTCTTGTTTGTTTCTCTCGATGTCACCTCATTGGTCACAAATATCCCCAAAGATTTAGTACTAAATCTGATAGAGAAATATTGGGAAAATATTGAGGCATTCACTGCTATGGAACTTGCGGTTTTTGTTGAATTGATCGCCTTCATCTTTGAATCAAGTTATTTCTCCTATAACAACAGATTTTGGGTACAACAATGGGTAACCCGGCTTCATCTATTTTGGCTAACATCGTGATAAACGAGCTCCTCATAACTGTCATCCCCAAATTACTTTTTCAACTTCCCTTCTTGTATTTATATGTAGATGATATTATGACAGCCATACCTGACCATAGTGAGGATATAATCTTAAATGTATTTAATGAATTCCATCCGAATCTCCAATTTACCTTTGAAAAAGAGAAAGGGTTAAGGCTACCCTTCCTTGATGTAGTTGTCATCAGGGATTTTGATAACAACCTTACTACTGATTGGTATTAGAAACCAACAGCATTAGGAAGGATTATTAATTTTAATTCATCACATAGCGTCACACATAAGGTGGCTATTATTAAATCACTTGAACATAGAGCAAGACAACTGTCTGACCCTTAGTATAAGGATGCAAATTTTGAAAGAATAAGGGTATTTTGTAAACAAAATCATTATTCTCTATCCTTAGTGAATACTATTTTGTGTAATAATGCTAATAGTGTTCGATCTCTTAATCAGGTTCAATCTTCTAATGTTAAGTTTTTCAAAATTCCATTGATTCCGAGCTTAAGCACTAAGTTATCAAAAATCTTACAAACACAAAATAACATTAGGGTAGTTCCTTATACAAACAAGAAAGTAGGTGACTTATTTACTAAAACCCAAGACAAAGCCGCTATCTGTGATAGTTCTAACTTAGTTTATAGGATTGATTGTATTCATTGTGACAGACTGTACATAGGGGAGACTAAGCAAAAGCTCTCAAAAGGATTATATCAACACCAATCCAATATGATTGTCGAATTATTAACATTGATAAAAAAGAAAAAACGGCATTGGCGACTCATCATTTTGATTTCAACAATCCGTCAGTGTGTATAAGATAGGAAAACTGGAGAGAGCGAAAAATTCTTGAAATTTTGTTTATAAATAAATATAAAAGCCATTCAGTTAACTATAAAACTGATACCAATAATTTAAGCGCCATCTATTGTAATTTGTAAAATTTATTATTTGTTACTATATACCGGGTGCCAATGAAACTACTACCCACGGCGGCATTTCTTAACGGTTTGAGATAGAAAAATGCAACTCGGTTTGTTGATAGAGTTGGAAATTGTGAACAATTTTAATATAAAAACAATTGAATGTCTTTGCCGGTTTCACCGGAAATGGCATTGACATTGTTATTTTAAATGGGACACCCTGTATATTATCTTTTTTTTTTTGGACTCTCTGAACAATTCTAAATAACTTTTGCCCAACATACCCTATGTCAAAAATTGATAGTTTTTGAAATAGAGCTCAAAAATATGTCGTGATTCCTATTTGTTTGTATTTTACCTAAAAACTGCCATTTCCGGTAAAACCGGAAAAGACATTCAATTGTTTTTATATTAAAATTGTTCACACAATTTTCAACCCTATCAACAAACCGAGTTGCATATTTCTATTTTGAGCCGTTAAGAAATGCCGCCACGGGTAGTAGTTTCATTGCCACCCGGTATATAGTTAATAGTTAAAGGTATGTAAACTTCATTTTTTTGTTAGCCCTTTTTTGATGTTCCTAATATACATTCAGCCCTGATGAAGCCCTAAACTTTTGGGCGAAACGTTGACAAAGACTCAACAGGCCTTTTATTTTTTGTCCTAACCAACGAATCACTCCCCTTCATTGGATACCGATAGGACACGAACTTCACTTAATAATAATAATTTGTTTATTTTGTAACAAAAAACCGAGCCTAAAACTTTTACTACAATTTTTCGGGAAATTACTAGTTATCAAAATAATAACTTTAGATAAAAGTATGTATTACTTATAATGGCAAATAAACAGATCGCCTCCCAAATGAATCACAAAATTATTTTGTCAATGACTAATATCTACCTTAAAAAGATACCCAAGCTTATCATAAAGATAATGTTTTATTTTAATTTATTGGCATTCGGATAATCCACTTTTGAGCATCATAATAATTATGAGATCCTGAATCAGCAAAAACGTTTCCAACCAGAATCAGAAACACCGGGCAGTGTAACTTTGATCACTTCCAAGCATTGATTGAACTGGTTTTGCCGAGGATTTTCCCTTGGATTTTTCCCAATCAAAATTGTTCTCTATTACACTGTAATTGTGATATCACGCACTGATTTATTTTCTTTTTTTTTCTAGAAAATGAGTCCCAACTAGCCAAAAAATTGAATTCAAAATGGCGCCGGTGCCCCGGCCAGGCAGCCTGCGCGATCCCGATATTGCAGAACTCTTCTTCAAGCACGATCCGGAGAAGATCTTTGAGGATCTGCGGGAAATTGGCCATGGCAGTTTTGGGGCAGTAAGAACTCTATTTCCCTTTTATTTTATAAGCAAGTTATTCTCATGTCTCAATTTAAGGTTTACTATGCAAGATGTCTCATTTCGAAAGAAATTGTTGCCATCAAAAAGATGTCATTCAATGGCAAACAGAGTTTGGAAAAATGGCAGGATATTTTAAAGGAAATAAGGTAAATAATCCATATTATGTATCTAATGAAACCCAATGTTTTCTTAGAGATCGTCTAAATTTTGTTTTATTCACCAGGTTTTTGAAGCAACTAAAGCATCACAACACAATAGAATACAAAGGATGCTACTTAAAAGACAGCACCGCTTGGTTAGTAATGGAATACTGTCTTGGCAGTGCTTCGGATATCATTGAGGTGCACAAAAGACCTTTGAGGGAGGATGAAATATCAGCTATTTGCGATGGCGTATTGAGGGGGTTGAATTATCTGCATGAATTCGGAAGGATTCATCGGGACGTCAAGGCTGGAAATATTTTGTTGACCGAAAATGGCACTGTTAAATTGGCAGATTTCGGAAGTGCATCTATTAAATGTCCGGCTAATTCTTTTGTGGGTACTCCCTATTGGATGGCACCTGAGGTGAGAACCAATAATCTAATTTTTCATTTTTTAAAATTTTGTTGTTGTTGCTGATTAGGTCAGTTTAAGTTCAAGGTTATTAAGACAAATAAATTCAGAACGTACGACGTATAGGAACCACTTCAAAATTACTTAAATCCTTTTTCAATCCTATCTGGTTATCATACAACAAAGTCATAGCCATTAAATTTGATTAATGGGGTAAATAAATATACGTAAAGTCCGTTCATTAAGTCTATAGACTTTTTCGAGTACTTGATCTGAGATTTTGGACGCTGATTGGTTAAAATTAGGGGGTCGACTTGGCCGACCTGCGCAACTTGAAAAGATGGGAGTATTTGGAAGAGTACTGAAGTGTTACTTAACAAACAGAAGACAACTTGTAAAATTGAATGGAGAAATGTATGAGTACAGTATGAGCAAATTTCCAATGAGTTGTGAGTTCTGCAAGGGAGTGTGTTGGGCCCTATTTTGTTTGTACTTTATGTGAACGATATGGTGGATGTAGCTAATGACGAGGATAATTTGGGGTTACATCTTTTCGCTGATGATACCTTGACTTATGGATTTTCTGAAAACATTAAACGTTTAGCTATTAAAATAAATAGTGTTCTAGGGAAAATTGATCAGTATTGCATAACATCGTAATAGGTAACGAGGCTTTAGCTAGTGTAAAAAAAATTAAATATCTATAGTTGAAACAAATCCAAGCGGCAGTAAACTGGTCATTTTCATTACAACCTATCAAGTGTCCTCTGTGCATGCGCACTGGTCCAGGTAGGGTGTTTCAACCAATAGGAAGGCTGGTGTTTGTTTACAATTTCGGTTATTAAATGCCATTTACTACCGCTTGGATTTGCAAATGGTAAAGGTGTAGTTATAGACAACAAAATGTCATTCAAGGAGCACTGCAACTTAACTATTTCAAAAATAAGCTATGGAATTAGTCACCTTAGCAGATGTTCGCATAGTTCATCAAGATAGTCACGATTAGTAGTTTTTAATGCATTGGTATTACCACACTTTACATACTGTGCAACAATTCTGTATTTGTTGCAGCAAAATGAAATAAACCGTTTACAGAAAATGCAAAACCGCGCTATGAGAATAATACTATCACGTGATAAGTACACCTCCATTCAGACCATGCTTAGACAACTGCAATGGCTCCCTGTGCAGGAATTTTTTCGGTACAACGTCTTGGTTTTCATTTTCAAAATAAATGTAGGAAATGCGCCCTCCTATTTAAAGAACAAATTACCAGTTAACAACTAAGTCCAAGGTCATAATTCAAGGCAGCAGCAGAACTTCTATATACAACGTAGAAATAAAAAGCTTGCTGGAAATTCTGTTGTTTATCTCTGGTTTCAAGAAAAATTTAAAATTGTTTTTGCTTAGGAAAAATGTTCTTGTTTCCTAGTCTTTGTACATTTAACCCCCAACTACTACTCCCAAAATAAATTTCTTAACTACGACTGATGGGTCAGTATGACCCAGAGTTATATTTATTCATAGAAGTTATAAAAAAAGCATACAAAGTATTCTCAAACACAAAAACTAAAAAGATTTCACATAAAAAATTTACTTAGCGCAGTTCGGACACACTTTAACTGCACATTGTTGGCAAATATATTTTTTACAACTATTGCAAACAGAATTTGTTATTCGGTCTTTTGTCCAAGGGCATATGGCACATCTTTTTCGTTTAGGCGTTGTTTTATCAGTAACTGGTGGTTCTGGAATCTGAGTGTGGAATAAATTGGAGCCCATTTCGCGAAGTTTACGAGGAACTTTTGTGTTTCCCAGTCTTTTTATGACGAACGGCTTGCATAGTGATACCCCTAGTCGCTTTAGAAAATCATAGCGCGAAATTTTTCGCTCTTTGGATGCAGTATTATATAGAATATAGCTATTGACTCCAGCAATATTCAATATAGCATGAAATAATGCCATTGGCCAACGTCTTGTTCTGCGCGAAGTAGAATAATTTGCGCATTTTTCGTCAAGAGCATCAACTCCTGCTTTGGTCCCATTATAGTATTCGATAATATCTGGTTTCATTGTTATTTAATTTTTTTTATTATCGTGGTGCATACTTGATACTAATATTACTGCTTTATTAGTTTTTGGAACAAATGATACCATGGTAATCGCTGGAGTGAAACCAAATAGTGAACTTTTAGGTTGTCGCTTACGACTGGGTTGAAATTCTGGCGGTATTTGGTGTTTGTTTTTCTTCAGGGTCCCTACGTAAGTGAGCTTATTATTCAGCAGCTCATTTACTATTTCAATTGAGGAGTACCAGTTGTCGGCGGTTACATTTCGATTGGTTTTTGTTATGTGCTTTGCCAAACGAAGCACAACCTCCGAAGGATTGGAGAACCGTTTTTCTTTTGTTGCCTGATCTCCAATTGGCGCACCTGTATAAACTTCAGCGTTTAGCATGTAGTGTGTCTTTGAATCTGCCAGGATTTGTACTTTTATGCCATATTTGGCTGGTTTACTAGGGATGTACATACGGAATCCACATCTACCCCTAAAAGGTACCAACATCTCATCTAGAGTAACATTATCACCAGGGTTATACAGTTCCCTTGCGTTATCCACAAAAGTATTGAATACTTCTGAAATCGCTGCCAGTTTGTCCAATTGGACCCTTTCTTTCCTGGTTTGTAAATCATCGAAGCGTAAACAACAAAGCAAGAAGGAAAATCTTGCAAGGCTCATTGTAGCTCTAAAAATGTCCCTTTCTGTTCCATCAGTACACCACATTGACCTTAGATCCTCATGGCCGGACTTGAATAAGCCTTGTAGATACAACAAACCAAAAAATGCTTTTAGTTCATCTACACTTGTTTGGTCAATAAAAGTTGGCTGGAATTTTCTTTGGGCCGCCCTACGTCTTATGAATGATCTATATTTTGCTTGGCACAGTTCTATTTTTCTATTTGTAAATGTACAAATTATCCATAGGATCTTGTCATTTATAAGTAATTCGGGTGATTTAGGTGGATTAGACTTTGCAAATCCTTTCAAACCTGGTATAGTATTTATAATATTGTGAGCTGCAGCCCTTCCACGAATAGGTGCAGTGCTACCTTTGACCATCTTGTTCCATCCTTTCCACGCCAAGACGTAAAATTAATTAGGGGTTTTTCATCGTCAGAATTATCATCGTCATCATCATTACCAGAATTCTCACTTAGCGAATCATGTTCACTAAATAGTTCACAATCTTCTTCTGAATCGCTTTGATCTCTATCTTCTAAAATTTGTCGTAGAGCGTCTTGTTCATCTTCAGCTGTTTCCATATGCGTACTGGCTCCAACTTCATCATTCTGCGACTCCGTCGATTCATTATTTTCTTCCAGGTCCTGCCAAAAATCATCATTTTCTACAATATCTAACAGTTCCGCGTCTGTGTAGAATTTAGAAGCCATTTTTATGTATATCTGGATACAAAAACTAAATAAATACTTGTTTGAAACAATTTATATGTAAAAAAACTTACCAAAACAATTAATTCCTAACCTGCTGAAACGTAAATAATTATAACACAACAGCTACCGATGGGTCACATTGACCCATTTTCGTAAATTTGGCCACAACGGAACTACACTCTACCGTAGTTGGTGTGTTACTGAAAGTAGACGCGCAAGCTAGGAAAAGTCGTGAAATCTCGCCGCCATAAGCGCAAAATTGGAGGGGGAAATTCAGTTTAAATTTGACTGTGGGTCAATCTGACCAATCTGACCCTGTCAGTAGTAGTTAAGGGTTAACGAGATATTTATAAGGTTTCTGTCCATTTTATCCATTTTGACTCTTGTCTTTGTCTATTTTAATAATTGTAGAGTTTTATTTTGCAATGATGTTTTTGATTGTTTTGTTATGATTTCTTGATTGATTGATTGTTTCTGTTAGTAATGTTTGCTTTGTAAAATGGTAAAACTAAAATTTTATAAACTAGCGTGTATTTGCTATCTAAAGGATTATTAAACCTAAGGCCCTAGTGAGGCCGCCTAAATCTAGTCAATCAGCGTCCAAAATCTCAGATCTCGCACTCGAAAAAGTCTATACACTTTATGAACGAACTATAGATTTGTGTGTTGCCAGTAATCACCAATGTTTGAAATTGAAACCTATCTATTATTGATGCTAAGCTAGAGCAGCATCAACTTGTGAAGTGAAGAGTCAGGATCTCCTTTTTCTTCTATTATTAAAATATCTGTAAATTCGATTTATATTACTATCAGGTTCACGCAAAAAAAAAACTGGTCCTACAATACTATTATTTCCATGACGGTTTTCTTTTGGAGAATGCCTCATATTAAGCTAAGCCATATTATTCTTTATACCCTGAGGCAGCAATTAAACTTAAAGCTACATAACAGAGTAAGGTAACTTCGATCAATAGGGATGCGGATTTAGAAAACTTGAAACAAAATTAAGTTTGGTTTATATGAATAAAGAAAGTATAAGGAATAAGTTTGATGAATCATTCATTCATCTTGTTTTGTAAAGGCATATAACATATTGGGTTTGCATACAGTACAGACGTGTTTGAATTTTGGTCTGTAGTGTTTTTGTGAATTCTAGCTGTGATAATTCCAGTTAAAGAGGGTGTGACCCAAAATGAAAGTTTTAAGTGCAAAAAAATCTTAATAATGCATACATTGCATATTTAAACCTTTAATTACTTAGTCTTTTATCATGGCATCGAATAGTGGTGGTAGGAATAAATCCAAGAGAAAAAACCTCTCGAGAAGTGTGTTTCAACAGATGATAAACCAGGCAGATAAAAATGATAAAATTAATCTCAGTCATGACGATATAAATAAAATTATAGGAATTGATACAAAAAACCCCAAACAACCAGAACCTCATTTTATTGATACCAAGCAAAAGACCGCTGATAAAAATGGCCCTGTCAATAATTGATAAAAATATCAGCTGAAACTGTACTACGCATCTTGATAAGAATGTTGGTGCATCTAAGGAGAGTTTTAACACGCTTGTCGCTAAGTAAGTTGATGACTTATTCTTCATATCAAGCAATTCTTTTGTTCGCACACCACCCAAGAATATTGGAACACACAATGAGCAGCATGATAAGGGTAACAATGATGAAAATGAGGTACCTATTTGAAGGAGAATTTTCTAATATTAGCTCTCAGAAAAGAATGATATCTGTTTCAAGTCCTGCTACAATGAAGACTAGAAGCCAAATCGAGAAGCCCAATTCTGAAATCTAGTGAGTAACAATGAACAAGTGCTTTCGAAAGAACATTATGCTCCGAACAATAAATAATTTTAAATGAAATACTAGTTGCCCTCCAGAGAATACACTTAACAAATTTAAGTTGGTTCCGCAAAGCGAAGCCCAAAATATCAGCTCCTGACTTGTTTACAGTACATGAACATGTAACTGACTAGTATTCAAAATAGGCCTAACGAAAAAAACCACTATTCAAAATAGACCAAACGAAAAAAAAACATATGCAAACATATAATATTTCACCTTGTATATTAGTGAATAAAATTTGAACAATAAACTGTTCATAAAAAAAATTCTCTACAGCTTAAATGGTATAATTTTTCTTTTTTCAATATGAAACCTTGAAAGGAGTTTTCATGTTTTTCCCTATAAATATTGAAGATAGACATATCAAATCGTCTATCGTTGAAATCAGGTTAAAAGGGACTAACAAATAAGCGCACAATATGCAGGGTGTTCCATTTAACACTTCACACTGCTACACTTTTTTGACACACCCTGTATGTCTAAAACTGAATTATAGCTATTTCCATTTGTCGAACCAGTGCAAAAAATAAATATCCTTATCCTTACATGTTATATACTTTTAGAAAAAGATGCGGATATACTCAGTGCGCACTGACTGACAAATGGAAATCGCCATTAGTTAAAAACTTATGACAATTTATTGAAACTTTTGTATTTGACACTTTTGTCAAAAATGTCGAATGAAAAAGTTAGAAGGGGTGACATTTATAATAGATCACCCTGTACGTTCAGATTGAATTCTGTTCCTGACTTGGCAATAAAATGCTTATGGATCGTCTTTAAGCACTAATGCAGATTTGAATAAATATTTAGGAACGTTATCTTGGTGAAATATCCTGGCCTTTTATTTGTCTTAATTACTAAGTTACACATCTACTAAAAATCTAATTTTGCAAAATTTCATTAGGTTATTTTGGCGATGGACGAAGGTCAGTATGATGGTAAAGTAGACGTCTGGTCATTAGGCATTACATGCATAGAATTAGCCGAACGTAAACCACCCTATTTCAATATGAACGCAATGTCAGCATTATATCACATCGCCCAAAACGATTCTCCAACATTATCTGCTACCAATGAATGGACGGACGTTTTCAAACACTTCGTCGAGGCTTGTTTACAAAAATCCCCCCATCTTCGGCCCAGTTCTGAACAACTCCTCAAACACATTTTTGTGACCAGACAAAGATCACCCAACGTCCTCATAGACTTAATCCAGCGTACCAAAGCAGCAGTAAGGGACTTGGACAATTTAAATTATCGCAAAATGAAAAAGATCCTTATGGTGGATAATTGTGAAACCGAAAGCAATATTGATTCACTGCCCGATGTGGATGATGCTCCCGAAGAACCTACAGGAGGCGATAGTTCAAAAAGTAACTCAGTTACGTCTGAGCATTCTGTACATTCAGTTGGTGTATCGGCTAGTAGTCAGTCTAGCAGTACAAATAGTCTACCTGCAGGCGGGGATGATGGTACTGCTAGGCGTCATCACAGGCCAATAAATCATGCAGCAGCTGCTGCATTAAGTGAGCACGCAAGTGGTAATAATTTCGCCACAATCCGCACCACCAGTATAGTAACCAAGCAACAAAAAGAGCATATGCAAGAGGAGATGCACGAGCAAATGTCTGGCTATAAACGTATGCGCAGGGAGCATCAAAGTGCTTTGATGAAACTTGAGGATAGATGTCGAATGGAAATGGAGAGCCACAAGAATCAATTGGATAAGGAATATGATGCTTTGTTGGCGAATTTCAGTAAGGAATTGGAGAAATTACAGACTAGGTAAAATAATTTTAAACTACATATGTATTTAGAAACATTTATTTGCATTTCTCTATGATAGGCATCAGCAAGAATTAGAAAGAAAAGGCAAACAAAGTGCTGCTCTAGAGAAAAAGCTAATGAAAGATATAACTGGTCGACAAGATAGTGATAGGAAAGCATTCGAGGCCCATAGGAAAAAAGAATACAAAGCGAACAAGGAAAGATGGAAAAGAGAATTATCACAAGACGATTCAACACCTAAAAGACAACGGGATGCTACTTTACAGTAAGTGTTCAGCATTAAAAACTTGAAATTTGTATTAACAGCTTTAAAAATATTTTAGGACTCATAAAGAGAATTTAAAGCAAGTAGATGCCCAAGAAGAGCAGCGGATGATCAGAACACAACGTGCCGAACTAGATTTAGAATTAAGGAAGTTCAGAAGAAAACGACTGATGGCTTATCACCAACTAGAACAGGTGAAAATTAGCAAATAAATCTTAATAGTGATGTATTTTTTTCATTTTTCAACAACAATTTACAATGGTCAAAATTCCTAGTAGAGGCTAAAATAGTATTTTGATTCTACTCCATCAATTCTTTTTCAGGATTTGCTACGACAAGAACTTCATAAACGACAACAGCAGCTTGAACAGGCCCACTCAATGTTGCTAAGACATCACGAAAAAACGCAAGAACTGGAATACAGACAACAGAAGGCTGTGCACGCGTTGCGCGAGGAACAAGTTAAAAATCAACACGACACAGAGCTGGCCAATCAGTCTGAGTATATGAAAAGGACGGAGCGGGAGTTGCGCAAAAAACACGCGTTGGAATTGAAACAGCAACCGAAATCTTTAAAACAGAAAGAGGTGAGTAATGACTAGTCAATGGAGTGAGTACTCAAGTACTATAATTAGTGGTGTCAAGGATAATAGGTTGATGACAATAAATAGAAGGAATTTGCTAGTGTTTTGCCTTCACAATACAAATGTCCAGGAATTATACAATTCACACATAGCCACCACTAAGACCTTTAGACATAGAGAAAATATTAATAAATATAAATAATAATGGAACTGTCTAGAGTCCCGAACGCGGGATCGTTAGAAAAAAGCAAAGTCCCGAAGAGGCGTGGCTTAGGTAATAATGGCGTTTGGGACTTTCCAAAAATTCCGAATCCCGACCTCGGGACTGTTGCAATAAATAAACTCCCGACTTATAAATTTATCAGACAATAGAAAAACAAGAAAGTAGCAAAAAACAAATATCGTGTATTTCTAGTAGGTAAACAAAATGGAAAAGTAACTTTGACATCTCATTTTGTAGATCTTTTCTTTTTCTCTGGCAGGCCTATCGCCGTTAAATTCTTGCCTCTAGGTCTGCCTCGACTTTCAATAGGGTTCTGAAATTTGTTTTCATCAAATTGCAAATATATACCAATTACGATAAATTAACACTTACACTGGTAAAAAAATATTTTTCAGAGGGATTTGCTCTTGCCGGTCGCTGTATATTTTCTGTCCTATTTCTCCTTCGCTTTCTAACTGTTGATCTTGTTTATCCTTGCTGCTGCTCTGCTTGGTGCCTCACAAGTTTCAACAGGGGTGTTAGTAATTATTAGCTTATAATTTTCCAACTGCTGATCTTGTTCATTGTTCATCATCCATGTGGATCTCATAAGTCCCAACTTCTAATAGAGGCCTCAACGACAACTTGTTCATGATTAGGGATTATTTCATATTTCCATTTTATATCAGGTTTATCTTCAACTGTCTTGTATAAATTAGGTTCATGATGCTTCGAGGATGTGATAGTTTTTGCATCTCGTTTGAAAAATTGCACCCTACTTTCTTTCTCATATAAATCAATAGCATCTTGTAATTCTTTATATGAACCAAATGTGTCACCAAAACTTCCCAAAACACACAGCAGTTGGCTAATCTAACCTAGATGTATAGGATAGACAAATACTATATAAACAATTATCACGAATTCGGGAGTTTACTTTTGTTACCATGTTCCCGAATTCGGGATCAGAAAATTTTTGGAAAGTCCCGAACGCCGTTATTAAGCCACGCCTCTTCGGTATTTTGCGTTTTCCTAGTGATCCCGCGTTCGGGACTCTAGACAGTTCCAATAATAATAATAAAACATAGTTTGTTTGTGCCAGATTACAAATGTTTACAATTTAAATAATTCAATATATCAACAAAACAAAATATCTTGACAAAGAAACCCTAGCCATCGCACAGAATAAACAAAATACCACAAAGATAAACTTGTCTGTGGCTAAATAAATCTATAAAATAATAATCTAAAAATGGAACTCTGCATAACAGTTTTGAGCTACAATAGTATGTGACATCAGAGTCGTTTTCCAGTGAAGCACTTAAAGCACTCCTGAGCTCACCTAGACCGCCCCGGGCTGTTTATAGCTTCAGAGTTTCGGATGATCAAAAGCACGACACTTAAAGTAGGGTGCGTTCCAGTGAAACAACAGTTGTTTGGAGCAACAGAGTGTAAAGCTACAAGAGTGGAGCACCTTAAGATTCATCACTGGAAAGCGGCTCAGGTATAATACGGGATACGAGGCCTATTTTATCAAATCATTTTACACCGTCTTGCATTGTTATCATCAGTTAGATAACATGGTACTGAAACGCACTTGTGCAGGGAAATAGATAGGAGTAGGGGATTTCGCTGCAAAAATGTTTCAGAAAATGTCGTCATAAACAAGGAATAGTATATTTCATTACCAGTCCAGGAAAAAGGATTTTTCCGTGCGCGCGTGACAAATTCTCGTGTGAGGCGCAGCCGAGCACGGGAAGTCATGCAAGAACGGAAAAATCCATTTCTGGATGTGTAATGAATAGTGATGTAAAATGCTCGAGCAAGTATTTTAGGAGAACGTTCTCCGAGCAGGATCGAGAATTAACGAGAATAAACGAGCAAAAACGAGCAGGACCCGAGAATTTATGCTTTTTATTAGAAGCTGAATAAAACAAAACATTTTTCTAAATAAATTCTGATTTTTCTCAAATTTCTTGAAATTCCCAAATTTCTCGTGAAAATTCTGAATATTCTGAAAATTCTTGATAAATGTGCTGAAAGTTCTCAAACTTCTTAGGAAAATATACCTACTTAATACATAATTAATCACATAATTTGTGAATTGTGTCTTGTGTCATGTTTGATAACAATAATTATTCTAATTTGGGGTTTTCTGTGAAACTTCAACATACAATTATCATTAGGATTCTTTTTTTTTTTGATAATAAAATAAACGCTGTGTCTAGAATCCCGGTACCGGTAACACTTTTTTTCCGGTAGTTTTGATGCCGTCACCTATATGACGAACTAGGTATCCGGGATTCAAGCAAATCCCGGTAAAAAATGTAGTCGTTGGCGGTTTTTGTTTTATCAAAGTCCAACTTAACCTAACTTTTCATGTTTTTAACTTGTTTTGTTGATGTGTTAACGTAGAGTGGAGTGTTTTCGTGAGTTTATCAACGTAAAATTACTTTTGAAATGGTTTTTAATAATGTAGGACAAACATTTAAAAGTTAGGTATAAAGAAGTTGAAGAGACTTTGACATGTGAAATGTGCCAGTTTGTGTACCATTTGCACCCCATAACTCAAGGAATATTTAATCCAAGTGAAGCTTTGAATGTGCCCCTTGTAGAAACAGAAGTCACATTAAAAGCTTCACTTAGATCAAATATCCCTTAAGTGATAGCCGTGCAAATGGCCATAAAATACCCAAAATGTGGTACCTATTGTTCTGATTGTAAACTTATAGATAAAACATGAGAGATATTCATTTTAATTTACATCCTAAACAGTATAGTTACATATATTGCTTGAAGAAAATTAATAAATATCTATTAAATCCGATTCTAAACTGCTATATAAAGTGACATCATTTCAAATTCGTTTAAATTCTCAGGGGTTTTCGGGAATAACAACCCTAGTTTACTATCATCCGATTGCAGATTACTTCTAATCTGGGATAAGTTGTTCGACATTTCCGAACGCAAATCATTTACATAAGGTATTTCGAACCTAAACTAACTTTTATAGTTTGAATTGTTTCAAAAAAGTGACGAAAACATTAATAAATTTACTTAAAATACCAATCAGCTGATAAATAACGATAAAAACAAAATCAAAACACCGGGATTTACTTAAATCCCGGTACAAGTGCGTCATATCGATGACGTCATCAGAACTACCGGTAAAAAATGTGTTACCGGTACCGGGATTCTAGACACAGCGTAAAATAAAATAGTGATTTTAGTTTGAGTATATTCCAGTACAACGCTACCTTTGCCTCCAAAAAAAATAACTATTGCTTTTAAGTTGTTTCCTGGTTCTCGGGCTCAATATTCGATATATCTTCGCCTTCAACAGCTTCCATAAATATATCTCTACTCTATGGCGTCATGTGATTTTATTGGTTAGGATCGTGCTTGAGAACGTGCTGAATATCGATACCAATATTCTAATAGGACGTAACCCCTAAATCCAAAGTTTGTCAGGAGGTGAAATAAACGTATATTTTTTTAAGTATTCGAAGGAAGCTTGACTATATTATATATATATATATATATATATATATATATATATATATATATATATATATATATATATATATATATATATACTATAATATTTTCAGTTGAATGTTAAAGACCCATTGAACTCATATTCATTGAAAACGCTAAATCCCAAAAGTTGTGGGATACGTCCTATTAGAATATTCGTATCGATATTCTCTATCGTTCTCATTGTGCTCCGAAGGTAATATTCAGCACGAAACTTTTTTTCGTGCGCGAACGTTCGCGAATGTTCTCGAAAGCACAATCAGAACGTTCCCTTGTTCACATCACTAGTAATGAACGATATTTTTTATTATACTTATCTGAAAACGATAAAAACAGAAAATTCCCATTTTTTAAAATGACATGAATTTTACAGAAAATGAAATGTCAAAAAAAGGGACAGTAGTGACAGAGCTGGGCAAGCTACTTGGAAAAAGTAGCTAGCTACAAGCTACAAGCTACTTTATATTGTAAGTAGCTAAGTTACTCAGTAGCTCAACTACCTCTTTGAAAAAGTAGCTAAGCTATGAGTAGCTTAACTACATTTTGAATTTTTGAAAGCTACTATTTAAGCTACTATTTGAAAGTTAAATTGATAAAAACAAAAAAGCGTGCACAATCGCCACCATCAATGTACATACCTTACCTAATTTAATTTCATAATATCATCATACGAAAATAACATATTTACTTTCTCTAAGAAGTATTCATATTTTTGTCAAAAACCACTGGACATTAATTTATTAGGTTCACTTTGATCACAGTGATCTGCGAATGCGAGAATAATAGGACACATAAAACATAGGTATCTACAGAGATAACTAGAAACTAGTCTAAGCAAGGCAGGATAAGAATTTTCTGGAAAATGATAATTGTAGCTTGAGCAATTAAAGTATAAAGTTACTTTTATCGAGCGGTAAATTCAAACGCGGGCGATAGGTTGGTGGAAACGTGCCTTTATAAGGGGAAAACTGTTTATTTTTGAAAACAATGTCGAATGAATGCCATTATATTATAGGTATAGTTATTTCATTTTTGAACTAGAAGAGTCCGCTGCGTATAAAACGTAATAAGTATTTTGGGCGTTAAGTATCGTTAACCACACCCTCGGGCGGTAAATGACACTTTCCGCCATTAATACCTAAATAACTATTAACTATCTACCAAAAGTAGCTTAAGTAGCTTGTTTTAGTAGCTAGCTACTTTTCACAGTAGCTTATGAAGACTTGAAACACATTACCAAAAGCTACAGCTACAAGCTACTTTT